TAACATATCTTTAACTTAGCTTTATCCTAACCTTCACTAAATAATATATTAACTTTAACTTAACTTTATATTTACTGAAACTCAACTTGATTTTATCTTTTAAAAACTTTAACTAATTAATTTTAATTTTAATTTTAATTTAACTTTACTTTAACTTTACACCAACATGAATTTAACTTTCGCGATCTGGCTTCGGATTCGCTATCGGGATACAGATTCGAATCCGTTATCGGGATCCAGATTCGAATTCCTGATCAGGATCTGGCTTTGGATTGTTCATGAATTAAAAAATAGCAAACTGTTACAAAAATATTAAAACACACACACGCATACGCCTATATACAGTGCGTACAGAATAATCTCGTCGGAAGCAGTAGGCATTATCGCCGGAATGATCCCTATCGGCATCACTAAGGCGGAGGACAGCAAGTGCTACAGGCAGAGAGAAGCCGGAAGAGTACGGAAAGTCGTGAGAGCGGAGTCGTTGACTATGTGGCAACAGGAGTGGTACCTCGAGTGGGACACGACGGAAAACGGTAGATGGACACATCAGTTGATACCGATTCTTTCGACCTGAGTGAACAGAAAACACGGAGAAGTCAACTTTCACTTGACGCAGTTCCTATCTGGCCACTGCTGCTTTAGGAAATACCTGCATCGGTTCGGACACGCAGCGTCCAATGCGAAGGGAGATGCCCGTCCTCAACGTGGAGAATGTCGTACATGATATGTGTCGAGACCAGGGCACTTGGAATGCCGTTAGCAGCACAGTTGCTCAAATGTTGTCGAAGGTGCAGCGTAAATGGAGAGATGAGCAGCGATCTAGTAACACCAGCTAGTGCTAAGAGTATGAGAAGTGCATGAGCACAGCCACCCCCCGAAGTAGTCGCTTCACCGTAGTCCCGGGAGGATCAAGGCAGAGGAGAGATAAGGAATGGGTTTTAGTGGAGCTGTGCACAGTGCCAACTTCACTACAGGCCAGGCTTTTTGAAGGTTTCCTAAACCTTACTATGAAAAAAAAAACACACACACACACACACACACACACACACACACACACACACACACACACACACACACACACACACACACACACACACACACACACACACACACACACACACACACACACACACACACACACACACACACACACACACACGCGCGCGCTCAATTCCACCGCATCCTCAAGGATGTTGGAAGACAGCGGGAAATCATGCAGCAGGCCATTTATAAATTTATCCCTTCAAGAAATATTGCTTGATATCACATAACCTGATAACCATCGCGTGATGCACAATTCCAACGCATCTCAGGGATGTTGGAACATATCCGGATGTAGCCCAGAAATCCAATTATGACAATTGATTTTACTCTGAATCACTTCTTTAAATAAACAACAATTCAGTTCGGAGGATCACAATCCCCAGACCTCCCAAAGGATGTTTAACTCATCCGAATTCCTCCAGCGGATTAATTATGACAAATGATGTCACTTAAAACAACAAACAGGGCAATACTTATCTTAAATCAACTTCCCGTAGCTAATTCCAGCTTCACCATCATGTATCCAGAATTGCACTTAACTGGATTTGGATCAAAAATATAAACAAAAATTATCAACATTGCCCTTGTTTCCGTTTGCATGCAGTATATTTACCTTGAGAGTATTCCACTTGGCATGTTGGCTTGCTGATTTTGTTGACCTCCTCGGTTCCGTTGGGAGGGAATTCACCCCGGTTTCGGTTGAATAAAAATCCATCTCGGTGTGGAGTCCACTCCCAGTCCGTGACGCCAGCAGCCGGCTGAAAAAAATTTACAAAAATTATCAAATTATATTCACCCCTGTTCTGTATTTCGTTTCGAACGAAATTCTCATACAAAAAAATATTTTTTTGTATGAGAATTTCGTTCGAAACGAAACACAGAATAGGGGTGATTGTTTTTGTTTTTATTGAAAAGTAGTTTACTTACCTTGAGTATAAAAATGTTCCGTCTTTGGTCCCGTCGGAAGACCATTCACTCCCGAATATGGCCATCGGAGGCCAATTTCACGGCCCGAAGAAAAACAAACGACTTCCACGAATGAAATAAAAACATGGCTGACCACGTAATCAGCCGCTACGAACAAAATCACAAAAAAATAAAAACAACTTCCATCCGCCATTTGGTAGCCCGGCGCATGAAATTACTCTAGCGGGGCGAGTCGCCTTTCGTCCGGATCCCGGAGCGCCATTTGGTCGCCCGGCGGATGAAATTACTCTAGCGGGGCGAGTCGCCCTTCGTCCGCATCCCGGAGCGCCATTTGGTCGCCCGGCGGATGAAATTACTCTAGCGGGGCGAGTCGCCTTTTGTCCGCATCCCGGACAAAGGGCGAACGATCAGTCTTCAAGTCGCTCAATGTCAAATGACGTCACTTTTTCGCCGGCAATTCGTGTGGGATACTTTCTCTTTCGTTAATTGGCAAATCAAAGTTGGCACTCGTGGAGAATAGAAGAACTATGAAAGTGATGATGGTTTCAAAATTTTCCACGGGGAAGTATACGAGTGCAATCTTAAAATGCTTTTATTTTGAAAATGGAGCATTTTATTTAAATCTGGTTACTGCTACAGTGATAGAAAAGCGGAAGTCTATGTTTACACCTAAAAATCTGAAAAGAAATTATGTTTTCTGTATTATATGTCTATTGAGTAGTCCTGAAGTTTTCTACTAACGTAGCACTAACCAGATTTAAATAAAATGCTCCATTCACAAAATAAAAGCATTTTAAGATTGCACTCGTATACTTCTCCGTGGAAAACTTTGAAACCATCATCACTTTCATAGTTCTTCTATTCTCCACGCGTGCCAACTTTGATTTGCCAATAACTTGAGCACATAAACGTTTCTTGTTGTGTTTGTCGTATTAGATGCTAGATTAAAGCTTTTTTATCGATCTGTGTGCTGAAGATACCCAGGCATGCCTTAACATGGCCGTGGGGATACTAAGAGAAAGTCGACGAAGAGAATCTGTCCATGTTACTTAGGACCTAATGCAAAATTCAGCTTGAATTGGATTCTCAAGATCACCCAATGCTAGTCTGATATCGACAATTACACAATAGTATACACTACAATATGTCCGATTGGATAACTTTTTCACTGTTTTCACAACACAAAATATGCTCTAATTATTGCGCATTTCACACCAAATTGGACTAATAAGCGCGTTTTCACTTATTATACCCCGTTCACATTATATCACGTAATATATAGGATTTTCAGTGAAAACTAGATGTATGAATGCTCATTGCAAGACAGCGTATATCACGTGATATACGCTGTAATGTGAACGGGGTATTAAAGAGTGTGATAAAATTGCAAGTTTATATCCCGTTCACATTACAGCGTATATCACGTGATATACGCTGTCTTGCAATGAGCACTCATACATCTAGTTTTCACTGGAAATCCTATGTATGAGTGCTCATTGCAAGACAGCCTATATTACGTGATATAGGCTGTAATGTGAACGGGGTATTACGTCTAATCGTCTTGGTGTCTTCAGTGCACTTATTCCTATCACACTTTTTGCATTTCTGGGACAGTCCAGTTTCAGATGCAATCAGCAATAAACGATTATCGCAACGAAGTGCACTTTCAACTAAAGGCCTGTATAGGGATCGAAGCGAAGCGAAAAATTCATACAAAATACTAAATTTTTCACCTGCGTGAAAAACGCAATTGGCAAATATTTCGCTTCGCTTTGAACTGTAAACAGATGCGATCCAGCGAAATCTTATTTTGTGGATCGTATCTTTTTCGCTTACGTTCATTTTTTTTCGCGCATGCAGCGCTAGCGAAAAGAGCAGCAGGTAAGCGAAAAGTTGACGTTTCGAGAAAGAGCGTATCTGTCAGATTTTCACTTCACCGGAGGTGTAAACTGACCGATTTCGTTTCACATGAACTGTAAACTGCGAAAAAAGGAAACTGGAAAATGTTCCACAAACATTTTTTCATAACCTTTTTCGCTAGCGAAATTTCATGATTTTTCGCGTGCTTCAATTTTCGTTTCGCTTCGATCTGTATACTAGGCTTAACAACCAGTACGATATTACAAGTATACCGAACGGAAAAAAAAACGAATAACGATAGCCCGTTGTTGTGACGGCCGAAATTAGGAAGGAAATAAAACCACAACAGCTTACACTTTTAAACCTTCTATTTTTCCTTTTTAATACTTCTTCGCGCAGAAGGCGCATGTCGTCATGGCGAGAGAAATTTAATGACAGCTTGAAACCAGAGACGTTGAATAGAGACACACATAGACTGAAGCAAGAAGAACCAAACGAACCGTCAAACGCTGAACCAAACGAACATAAACATTACTGTTTGCTCAATTCATTCGAAAGGAGTATTGCTCTGAATGATGAAAAAAGTGTTTAATTATTTTCACGAAATATTTTATATCTGTTATCTATTTATTTATTGTTGATTCAATTAAATACAACATTTATTAGTGATAAAAACAATTTCGAATCGAAACGTTTCATTTAGTTTTATGGTAATACAAATAATTGCGCTGCAAGCAAAACAGTAAAATATGAAAAAAGTTATACTGTCATGGAGCGACTGTCATCTCTCGTCTTCACTTTATTTTTGCAAAATGTTGCCGCGCACTTCATTTTTATTCAGTTCCGGTCGAACGTTCAAATTTTCTTAACAGCATTGCGGCACTGTATAAAAGTCATTTGAAGCCACTCGAAGAAACATGGTTGCCAGTGATATTGCCAAAAGATCCCTCAAAAACCGTGCTGCTGTTTTGACAGAAATTTTCCTTGCGCGTCTCTATCAACGTCTCTGCTCGCAACGTGCTCACGCGGAAACAAGGAATGTGCGAAACAAGGTGTACGTGAGCAAGGTAATGTTATAATAGGTGTATACATATCAAGGTTAATATAACGATATAACACTTCTCCCCCTCGTAAAAAGAAAGTTATAGTAAGTTATACAAAAGAAATTACAAATTCAATCTCTGGGGAGGTACGATTACCCGGCTGGATCGTCGTAGAGTCGTCGGAACAGCATCCAACACAGCAGACCGACCGGCCACGACAGTCGAAGAACGCTCCTGGGATCCAGGAGTAGACATTATCGTCGCAGCAGCAGGTGTAGCGCAAGGAACCACCGGTGCAGTACCAGTAGCTTCCTCGACAGGATTCGCTGTAGCTTGGGCCACTGGCGCAGCAGCCGAAGTTGTAGGTTCGTCGAGTTCAATGTACTCCTCCCTTGGAGGGTCCACCGAATCGCTCCGCAAATTAGCGCCCACACCGACGATATGGTCAATGTGACGCTCCCAGATTCGTCCGTCATCCAATCGCACCGTATAACGAAGCTTTCCAACCTTCTCGACGATCTTACCAAATTTCCATTTGTTACTCGACAAGAAATCGCGAACACGTACTCGATCAGCATCCAACTGACGCACAGCAATGTCAGCCTTGCTTGAAGTTTCATTCTTCGGCAGCAGCAAGTCGATTCTCGATCGAATCTGTCGACCGAATACGAGCATTGACGGTGATTTCCCGGTAGACGGATGGATTATCTTGCGGTAGGTAAGAAGAATGTTGGACAGTTCCAGGTTCAGCTGAGACTTGGAACACTTCAGCGCCTTCAATTTCTGCTTGAACGTCTGGACGTACCGCTCCGCTTGTCCATTCGTTGCCGGATGATACGGCGCTTCCATTTTGTGAACTCCACCGTTCATCTTCAGGAACCGCTGGAAAACTTCCGAAGTAAACTGGACGCCATGGTCGCTCACCAGGACTGACGGTATGCCAAACGTACTGAAGATCTTGCGACACATGTTTACGGTGCATTCGGCCGTAATGGATCTGCACACTTTGATCTCTGGCCACTTACTAAACGCATCCACGTAGATAAAGAAGTAGGTATCCATGAAAGGACCCACAAAGTCAACATGGACCCTTTGAAACGGTTCACTTGGTGATTCCCAGCAATGAAGGTTCATCTTCGCAGGTTCCGCACGTACTGACTGGCAGTCAGCGCAGTTCGCAATCAATTCTTCGATCTCCCGATCCAAACCAGGCCACCAGCAATAGCCTCTTGCCAGCGACTTCGTACGGGTTGTACCGAAGTGAGTAGAATGTAATTCATCCAGCACACGTTTCCGGAGAACTGTAGGCACGTACACTCGAATTCCCCGAAGCAAGCATCCGTTTTGTATAGAGAGTTCGTTCTGTTCGATTCCGAAACGATCCTTCGCTTCCACCAGCTGGCCGTGCTTGATGCCTTGGATCAGTTTTTGCACCGTCTGATCCCCCGCCGTAGCTTGACCTAACTCGGCAGCAGTCAAGGGTAGAGTATCGATTTGACTCAATTCCACAGCATCCGACTCCTCAATCTCATTCTGGGGATCAGCTACTCCTAACGGAATCCTCGACATGGCATCAGCATTCGCATGATCCGTAGACATCCGGAACCAGATCTCGTAATCGAAACTCTGCAAATACGTAGTGTAGTGTTGCATCCTCAATGCAGACATGACCGGCAACCCTTTGTGCTCTCCGAAGATCTTCGAGATTGCCTGATTGTCGGTAAGCAAGCTGAACTTCCGTCCGTACAGTATTGGAAAAACTTCTTCACGCCGAATATTATGGCGTACGCCCTAGGGGAAGGCCAGCTCCAAGTATAAGCATCAATACCGATGGTGGAAATATTAAATATTTTAATATTTGTGATATTTGTGAATGTCATACTTAGTCTGACAGTTTTTTTTTGTTTTTGACTATTTTTGGTTTTAAGTGTACATTTGACATTCGTTTAATGAAAAATGGATTTCACACGAGAGGCAAGTTATTCCCTTCACTATTATTATAATAGTTTTTTTTTTTTAATTTGAGAATTTGGTTCTTTGATAAAAAGAACTTGAATGCGTGAAATATACGGGATTTACGCAGAAAACCCGGAAAAATTTACTTTTCTCAGAGGGAAGAAAAAACTAATTCTGAAGCTGGCCAACACCATTCGTGATGCAGGCTTGGATCAATTCATGCCATCTAGCAAAACGAACAATTTGAAATCCGAGTCAATAGATTAATTTGAAACGGAAGTGTTAGAAAGAATCCAATCATACTTCAAAGAACGGTATACATTTGTTTGAATTATTTGTCCAACTATTTATCAAATGCTGTGGATCTGTGTTGATTGATTCCAATTGAATGTCAAATTTTTTCCCGGACTCGGAAATCTATCGGCAAGTGTATCTCTGTCGAGGATACAGAATGGCAAGCATTACCTGTTTTCTCAAGTTCTCAATTATTATTCCCTATTTATTTATGAACACGCAGATGCACATGTTAAACAAGGAAAAATAATCGAAGTTGAAAAATGGGGCGGGTGTGTTATCTGGGTGGGATAACTGTAGTCTGTCTTTTACCAACACGAAATTTAAAAAAAAAAATCGACACGCCTAAGCCTCCGTGCATCGTGAAACACAACACTTGATCTTGCTGGTCGTCACCACCGAAATCCACTCCTTGTCCTTCTAAATTCGACATTCCTTGGTACATGATATCAATATGATAACCGTGGTCGTTTTTGGTTGATTTGCCATGAGCCTAGTGAGATTTGCTGCCGGATTTTGTAATGGACGAACGGCCAATGCCGAAACCAAAAACGAAAAATTACGCAAAAATGACGACAAACAGAAAGCTGCATCAGTAAACATAACAACAACGGTGAAACGTCATTGAGTGCACAGTGTACGCTATATAAGGTAAGATATTCCGGTAAATGACATTTGTATAGTGATGTTATTCCTATCCTTTGAGAGCGTAGGAGAGCCTTTTGCTGAACAAAATAAAGTGATTTGCTGTGTCTGCAATGTATTTACACTGTACAATTTGAGTTCAAGAGCAAATTTTCATTACGTCGAATGTAACAAAGGTAAACAAAGTCGAGCTATCAGTGTCAATCGATGCTCCTGCTATTACACTAATATCACAGACAAACAGACGTAACACTTCATTGTGTATCTTCGTTCACGCATTTAACGGTTGATTTGTATATTATCAGTTCCGCGAACTACTCGCCGCAGCGCTGGCATCGGATCACTTTGACGTTTCTATACATTCTATAGAACTTTTATGCAATATTGTTTGCGAGTTAGTGAGCAATCTTGTTTTCCGCGAGAAGCCAGAGAGATGTCGTTACTGAGGTCCTATGTTTTGAGATACTATGTTTTCAAGAAAAACTTTTTCAAAGAGTTACGTCTGTTTGTCTGTGCTAATATACTGTCTGAATATAGGATCACATCCCATTTTTAAAATTATTTACCAGTCAAATTGCTTTTTGACGTAATCACCTTCCGATCAAAATAGTTTTCGATGTTACTTAAGTCATCCGATTTCTATGGAGATGCCGTTTGCCTTAAGTAACAGCACAGAGAAACCAGTGAAAAGTGTACGTTCGTCATTTCGATTTCTCAGTATTAAAGTGAATAAATAGAACTGTTTGTTGCTTAGATGATTTTGGTGGTCCTAAAATGATGAATGGGCTGCACGTAAGGAGACGTAATTGATAATTCTCCCGAATATCCTGGTAAATACACTTTGACTTAAGTAACAATAGGGGCCACCAAACGACGTATAATATCTTTTCACTCAAAAACCAGTATTTTTTAGCATGAAAGCTAGCGATTTGCATTTGTATGATTAAAACCCGGCTTAATATGTTAAACATTGCTATCACTATGAGATTATATGTGTTTAATTGGAAATAGGAATAACTTTTCGGTCATCAAAACAAAACTTTATTTTTCTCGGATCGGTGCGAATGTTACTTACGACATAATGAAAATTTGCTCTTGAGTTATTCCCCTGCAAACTATTGAAAGATAGCAATGACGTCATTAGTCGACATTCAAACTTGATGTTTACAACCGAGAGTATATTACCATAGAGGTAACTCTAAGACCACTGGGTCCCGAAGAAAATCATTATTATTTTTGGCTCACTCAGTACCAGAACAACGGTCCCAAGCAGTCCCAAGCTATTTCACTCACCCCTGCATGTTCTGCATGAATCCACACACCCCTAATGTTATCTGTCAAACTTTCATAGCGAATCAAAACAAACATAGTGTAGTAATAGAATTTCAACTAGAATAGGGTACGTTAATCGTTTGCTTGGGACCAATAGGCTACTAAAGTGGTGAGCCAATTTAAAATCGTTAGTTTCGTATTGATTGTTGATATTACCTTGTTTATATATACCGTGATTGAGTGTATTCGTTATAGCTACACTGTTAAAATTGTTTACTTTGTAGCTTTCCGTTTGACAGTTAATATCATTAATATTTATATTAAAAACTATAATAATTATTAATTTGAGCAATTTTAACACCAAATATTACTTCAGATCAAGTTGTACTTCCCCTAGCGTACGCCTCTTTGTCCACCTGCATATAATTCTGCTGCACACGGTACAGGGTCTGGGACGCGAACTGGATTGGACGTTCCGTGCCATCTGGGTACACGTGACTCAGCACAGCTCCTACTCCGTAGGGTGAAGCGTCCGTAGCAAGCAGCAGTGGAAGTTCTGGAGAATAGTGGACAAGGCAGTTGTCGGACTGCATCTGTTCCTTCACTTTCTTGAAAGAATCTTCGCATTGGTTGGTCCATCTGAATGGAACATCGTTCTTCAGTAGGTTGTTAAGCGGATACAGGACCGTACTCAGGTTCTCAAAGAACCGCCCGTAGTAATTTACAAATCCGACGAATGACCGAATTTCGTCCTTGTTCTTCGGCCTTGGCATTTTCTGGATTGCTTGCACCTTTTTTCGGATCTTATGGATCCCTTCCTTATTGATCGAGTAGCCGCAGTACTCAATCTTGTCCACAAAGAACTCGCACTTATCCTTGTTCACCCGAATTCCGCATTCATTCAGTCGCCGAAGTACCTCCTCCAGCCGACGCAAATGAACTTCATCGTTTTCACCCGTGATCTTGATGTCATCCAGGAAAACACTTACTCCATCAATGCCTTGCAGTAGGGCCTCCATCTGCCGCTGCCAGATAGCTGGTGCCGATGCGACATCGTACATCAGCCGATTCGGGCGGTAAAGACCACGGTGAGTACTAAGTGTGAGTATTTCACGATCTTCTGGAGCCACTTCCAGTTGCAGGTACGCTTGGACGAGATCAATCTTGCTGAACTTCATTCCTCCCGCTAGTGAAGCAAACAGCTCGTCCACAGTAGGCAGTGGATGCTTGTCCACCACGAGGTTCGGGTTCACGGTCTGCTTGTAGTCTCCGCAAATCCTCACCCGGTTCTGTGACTTCTTCACAGGCACAATCGGTGTTGCCCAGTTACTGGAGTTAACTTTCGTGAGTACACCCTCTGCAACCAGTTTCTCCAATTCGTCCTCAACCGCTTTCAGCATGTTGAAAGACATCTTCCGTGCCTTAAGAAACACCGGCCGAGCACCGTTCTTCAATGGTAGGTTAGCCTGAACGTGGGAAATCTTTCCGATCGAGTCCTCGAAAACCTTCGGATATTTCCCCAGAACCTCCTCCAATGCAGCATCACGACGCGGGGAAATAGTAGCAGCAATCGTATTCACAACACTCGACCCCTGGAACATGTTGTTCCAGTCCACCGGCATCTCCTTCAGCCACTCACGGCCTAGCAACGGGTGCTTCCCGGAATTCACAACGTACAACGGCATCGTTATTGTTTTTCCCGCGAATTCCACACGCGCGTCAAGTATACCTAGCACGTCGATGCTGGTATTGCAATAGCTAACCAAGTTCGTATCACACTCACGCAACCGCGTAGTTGGAAACATTCCGCACTGATGATACTGACCGGCGAACCAGTATCTACTTCAAATCGAATGTACTTTCCGTTCACGGACACATCCAGCACGAGTTTCTTGCAACGCGACGTCGATTCGACCGTACAAACTTCACGCACTACCGCACTCCCGACGGTTTGACCACAGACAAACAGACGTAACTCTTTGAAAAACTTGTTCTTGAAAACATCGTATCTCAAAACATATAACCTCAGTAGCGACATCTCTCTGGCTTCTCGCGGAAAACAAGCTTGCTCGCTAACTCGTAAACAATATTGCATAAAAGTTCTATAGAATATATAGAAACGTCAAAGTTATCCGATGCCAGCGCTGCGGCGAGTAGTTCGCGGAACTGATAATATTCAAATCAACCGTTAAATGCATGAACGAAGATACACAATGAAGAGTTACGTCTGTTTGTCTGTGGTTTGACGATCACCGGATTGGTCCACGTAATTTGTCTGGACCAAATGTGGTTTGTTCGTCGATCGAGAGTCGGATTTCGCGGTGGTGGACTTCTTCAGACAAACCTTCGTGAGGTGCCCCGTCAATTTGCAATACGAGCACACTGTTTGCTTATGTTTGCACGCATTCGCGAAGTGCGATCTGTCCCCGCAGCGATAGCAACTTCCATCGCTCGCACTTTTACCCGCACTTTTAATTGCACTCGCCTTCTTTTTATCATTT